ACACACACACGCACATACACTCTCAGTTAATTATTCTATTTCTCTCTTATTCTCTTAATTAATTACTCTCTCTCTCTCTCTCTCTCTCTCTCTCTTTCTCAGTTAATTATTATATTCTATAATATTTATTTTCTCACCTTATAAGGTAAAAATATAATAATTATTTTCTCATATAATATTCTATTGTAGAATATATCATTCTCTCTCTCTCTCTCTCTCTCTCTCTCTCTCTCTCTCTCTCAGTTAATTATTATATTCTATAATATTTTATTTTCTCACCTTATAAGGTAAAAATATAATAATTATTTTCTCATATAATATTCTATTGTAGAATATATCATTCTCTCTCTCTCTCTCAGTTAATTATTATATTCTATAATATTTTATTTTCTCACCTTATAAGGTAAAAATATAATAATTATTTTCTCATATAATATTTTATTGTAGAATATATCATTCTCTCTCTCTCTCTCTCTCTCAGTTAATTATTATATTCTATATTTTATTTTCTCACATTATAGCATTCCATTTCTCTTACGCTCTAATTAATTATTATACTCATTTTCGCTATGTCTGCAGACGCTCGCAAATTGTAAAAACTTATAGCTCAACGCTCTGTAGAACTTTACTAAAATTAAAGAACTTAAAAAATCCGCTGATCAAGCTCTTTGAAGATCCAAATTTTCACCCTAACTTTAGATGTAGAGCAAAACACTTAGAAGATATTTATAAACTTTTGATAAGATTCATAATAATATAATTTTATTAGTTTCCGCACAGGATAATGGCGATATTGATCCTCATGTCAAAATTCAAACTGAATTTAATGATTATTATTTTCACATTGAAGCATTATTCACAAATTTATTTCCCGCAAACGAAATCGGAGCTGGATACTACACAATTACAAAACACTACTGCTCAATGTTCGGTAAAACTTCCTAAAATTGAGGTACCCCATTTTGATGGTGAATTTAAACATTGGCAAACATTTATCGATATGTTTGATTCTCTTATACACTGTAACTCGTCTCTTAGTGATATATCGAAATACAACTATCTAGTGAGTTTCTTACGAGGTCCTCCTTTAGCTTTGGTATCTAGTACTCCACTTGCCAATCAAAATTATAATATAGCATATCAAGCCTTAAAAAATAAGTACGATAAGAAACGTTTGATTGCAAAAGCTCACTGGCAGGCTCTAGAAAATATTAAGCCCATCTCTAACGAAAATAATCATGAAGCTCTAAGAAATATGATTGATATTTATACTCGTAATATTACAATTTTAAATAACTTGGGTTTTCCCACAGAGAGCTGGAGTTTTGTGCTATTTAATATGATTTATGATAGACTTCCAGAAATTTTGCAAACTAATTTTGAACTGGAATGTGGCTCTGTTTTATCACAAGATATGCTATACCTCAAATCATACGATACACTCATTGAATTTTTAGAAAAACAATGTTCAGCTAAAGATACAATCTCTCTAACTAAATCGTTTTCTCATTTTAATAAAAATAGTAATTATGACAAAACTAAAACGAAGTATTCACAAAAAAGTTATAAAAATAAACCTACCTCTTCCTTTGTTGTCAACACTCAGTTGAAACAAAATTTAACTTGTCAAGTTTGTAACAAGGATCATTTTATTTATAACTGTCCAGATTTTATTGCTTTTACTCCAAAACAGAGATATGATTTAATTAAATCCCGAAGTTGGTGCTCAAACTGTCTCGGCACTAGACATTCTTCTAAGAGTTGTAATTCTCGTTCCTCATGCCGAACTTGTGGCAAAAAACATCATTCGCTTTTACATTTCGAAGGTCAAATAACAACTCCTGTAAACGTTCCTCCATCCACTTCATCGCAAACTCTTCCAGTTCTGCAAGCAAGCAGCTCTATCTCAGAAGTTGTATCTACAAATTTATTTGCAAAACATAAGAATAAAGCTCTTCTTTCTACAGCATTAATCAATGTTCAAGATGCGTGGGGTAATTTTCATGTAATACGCGCTGTAATTGACAGTGGAAGTGAAAGTCACTTTATTTCAAAATCTTGTTTTAATAAATTAGGTTTATCTAAATTTTTCCTCCCCATCCAATTGTGTGGCATCGGGAAAAATATTTCCAAAGGTTCTCACGGTGTTAGATGCAACATTAAACCTATTGGAAAGTCTGATCCGATCTACTCCTTGGAGTTTATTATATTAAACGAAATTAGTGATAATTTACCGATTAATTCTCTTCCCGTTGAACAGTTCTCAAAGTTTTCTCAATTGCCCTTAGCTGATCCCAACTTTCACCTCTCTAAACCCGTAGATATACTTTTGGGTGCAGATATTTATGGTTTCTTGATAACAGGAAACAAACTCCTCTCAGATCCAGATCAACCCGTCGCTTTAGAAACTATATTTGGATGGATAATTACAGGAAGAGTTAAAACATCTAGTGTTTCACTCTCTGTAAACTCATACTTTCTTACCTCTTATGCTTCCTTGGATCAATCACTTCAAAGATTCTGGGAGTTAGAGGAGTTCCACAATCCTCGACGCTTTCTTCAGATGAAAAGCTTGCCGAAGAACACTTTTGTAAAACATTTTCACGCACTCTTCTGGACGTTATAAAGTATCTTTACCATTTAAAACTTTGGAACCGATCTTTGAAGGTTCTAGAGATGTCGCCCTTCGTAGATTTTTCTCGCTCGAAAAACGATTGTTTGAAACCCCAATTGTATTCTCAATATTCTAATTACATGCGTGAATATTTAGATTCTCAATATATGATTGCCGTGCAAAAATCCTTCTCCCAACGCTCTATTCTTATTATCTGCCGCATCATTGCGTAATCCGACCAGATAGTCTCACGACCAAACTTAGAGTTGTTTTGATGCTTCCGCCCGAGATTACACAAATAAATCTTTGAATGACACTCTCTTAACTGGGCCAAAATTACAGTCAGATATTTTATCTATTTTACTTCGATTTAGATCTCATTTGATTGTATTTGCTAGCGACATTAAACAAATGTTTTTGTCAAATTCTCTGTTAATGAAAAATCATAATTGAATACCTCAAAATTTTATGGCGATTTAACGCTAATGAGCCCATTCAAGAATACAAACTTACTCGCGTTACTTTTGGTTTAAGCTGTAGCCCATTTTAGCCATTTGAGTTATAAACAAATTGCTTTAGAAAATTTAGTAAAATATCCCGAAGCATCAAAGATTTTAGATATGGATACGTATGTCGATGATATTATATCTGGTTTATGATTCTCTTTCCCTTGCTATAAAATTCAACGCGATCTCATTTCTATACTCAAACACAGCGGTTTTGAACTTAGAAAAATGGACTTCGAATAGCTCAGATTTTCTTTCTCAGTTATCTCCAAAATGAATGCAAAATGGATTCTTCTCTCTCTTTAAATATAAATTCTTTCTTCCTCTAAAGTTCTAGGACTAAACTGGAATCCCTCTACAGATGAATTTTTCTTTGATTCACCAGCGTTGTCCTTGACAAACAAAATCTGTAACAAACACCAATATTCTTTCACAACTCGCAAGCATATTCGATCCCTGTGGCATGTTGGTTCTTTTCTCACTCTTCACCTAAAACTGATTATACAAGATTTGTGGAAGTTAGGTATAAATTGGGATGATCCTGTTCCCAATAACATTGCTACATCTTGGCATCAACTCGTTCAAGAATTACCTTGTATTTTCTCTCTCAAAGTTCCTCGATATTTCTCACTCTCAAATATTTATCCCTGGAAGTACATGGTTTTTGTGATGCTAGTGAAAAGGCTACAGTGCAGTAATTTATTTTAGGATAATTCTTCCAGATAACCTGTAAAAACAAATTTTGTCTGCGCTAAAGGCAAAAGTAGCTCCACTCAAAAATCTCAATTCCAAGACTGGAACTCTGTGCAGCCTTACTTCTGACCAGGTTAATTGATTTCGTTAGAACTTCTCTTTCTAATAAACTTACTTCAATGTTAGTAACGATTGCATGGTCCGACTCGATGGTTGTTTTGCATTGGCTTAAAAGTGAACCATATAAGTGGAACACCTTTGTAAGCAATCGAGTTTCCCAAATTCAAGAGAAATTACCTCCTTCTTGTTGGCGTCATGTAGTCTCCAAAGACAACCCTGCTGATCCAGGTTCTCGTGGTTATTTCAACCTAGCGAGTTACTCGACAATGCCCTTATGGTGGGCGGGACCTCCATGGCTAAGCCAACCGGAATCTTATTGGCCGCAATCAATTTTTACTTTCCCTGAAATTGAAGAAGAAAACAACGAAAAGTTATATTGACATGTACTTCACAGCCCTCATTGTTTGATACTCTTTGAAAAGTTCTCTTCTTCTCTAAAATTATAAATATTGTCGTTTTGCAGACGCTTTCTCTATAATACTCGACATTCTAAATCTCGTAAAACCTCTCCTCTCTCGAAATTTGAAATAAATGAAACTCTAGAATGTATTATTAAATGTGTTCAATCACAATATTATGCTAGGAAAATTCTCTTTAATAAATAATTGCAAATCTCTACCTAAATACTTAAGAAAATTGACCCCTTTCTCGACACCAATGGAATTCTTAGAGTTGGTGGTCGCTTGCAATGCTTCTAAATTTCTCTCAAAACATCCCGCACCCTTACCCAATAATCATAAATCTACTACTCTACTCATAGAATATACTCATAAACTCTATATTTGCATCCCGGTCCCCAAACTCTTCACTATATTCGCTCAACAATACTGGATTGTTTCTGCTAGAAAAACAATTCGTAGTGTTCTCTTTAAATGTCCTCAATGCTTTCGCGCTAATCCAGTAATGCCTCAGCCTCCTATTATGGGGAGATATTCCTGCTGTAAGACTTTCTCAAGTAAAACCTTTCTCTGAAGTTGGATGCGACTATGGTGGTCCATTCTCTTTATTAAGATATCGTGCACGAGGTGCTAAGTCCTGTAAAGCCTATATTTCATTTATTTGTGTGCATGGCCACGAAAGCTTTGCACTTAGAACTGGTTTCCGACCTTTCCTCCGAGACTTTTCTGGGTGCACTGCGTCGATTCATTTCTCGTAGAGGTCGCTGCAATCATATTTATTCCGATTGTGGAACGAACTTTGTCGGAGCTTTTAGAGGACTGATTAATATGCTAAAATCCGCCGCTGAGCAAGAACAAATTTCCTGGCACTTCAATCCTCCAAGCGCGCCTCATTTTGGTGGCCTGTGGGAAGCAGGAATAAAGTCTGTAAAAACTCACATTAAAAGGGTCATTGGTGATCAATTGCCCACGTATGAGGAATTTTATACGCTACTGGTTCAAATAGAAGCAGTGCTTAATTCTCGTCCATTGTGTCCACAAAGCTCTGATCCTAATGATTTGTCAGTTCTTACTCCAGGACATTTTTTAACCCTGGAGCCGTTAAACGCCCCTCTCCGGAAGATGATCTTTCCGGGATAAAATTAAATCATCTCTCTCGCTGGCAGTTGATATCACGCTTTGCAACTAAAGCTTTTGGAGCCGATGGTCTAAAGAATACCTTCAAACACTTTTATTGTAAAGAGCTAAATGGAATGACTCTACTATTCCAATAGAAATAAACTCGGTTGTTTTAATAAAGGATGATAATCTTATTCCGCTCAAATGGAGCATTGGAAGAGTCTTAGAGATTCACCGGGCCATGATCGTGTTACAGCGTGGTTACTTTAAAAACAGCAAAAGGCATTCTTAAAGACCAGTGACAAAGGAATATGTCCACTGCCTTACTGCAAATCTCATAATTAAAATTTACTCTCTAAAAAACATAATTAACATCTCTTTATTCAATTACTTTTCTCTACTCTATAACAAATGTAAACTCTCTTAATATTTAATTAAATTACACTCATGCATTAACCCCAATAATGCATTTTTCTCTAAATTCCTCTAAATTTAACTATCAAATTTCACTCTTACTTTCTTTTAAACATAACGCATTTTTCACTTTTTTTTCATTTTACTTTACTATTCTCAAACGAAAATGGAAAATATTTCATTTTGGTGGGCGGTATGTTAGATTCTATCCTTCCTCCCATCCTTTACCCGAAAAACTTAGTGGGTACGTGTAGCCGTAGTCGAATACGCAGCGTGACGAGAGAGAGACAAGATCGGCCGAGTACACAGTGTACACCTCCAAGCGCGCGCTATCCTCAAGTGTTTTGTTCAAGCAAAAAATCAACAGGTACGAGTCCAGAACGGGAATAAAGGTGAGTGCCCACAGTCCTGATACATTAACTCACCTTAATGAACTGAGCCCCTTAATTCTCGCCCGTAACAGCCCCTGTAAAGTCAAGATTATCAAAATACTCCAGAACATAAGACACAAGGTCCAGGATACCAAGAACCGTATTCCTATTTTTCCTGAAGCCAAACTGGCACGGTGTAAAGATATTATTTCTCTCGAAGAAATGCGTTAACCTGGAAGCAATACATATAGCAAAGATCTTTGAGATGATAGGCAGTAAAGAGATGGGCCTATAATTACCAGGATCTTCAGCCGGGTTGCCTTTTTTAAAAACAGGCGTTATTTGGGCAATCTTCAGTGCATCTGGAAAAGTGTTTTCTTTCAAACTCTGATTAATAAGTTTGGTTAGAGGACCTATTAGTTGGTTTTTGACCGACTTGATGAGTTTTACATTTAATCCAAACACATCAGAGCTATGCTTATTTTTCAGGCCGTCAATAACATCTCTGATTTCAACAATTTTCACAAATTTTTATTAAGGTTAGATTAAATTTGTCAAAAAAGTGTCAAAACGTCCGTTATGGGTCCGTTGACGGGCTGAAGTAAAATATTTACGGATGAAAAGTGGCGCGAAAACGCTATGACCAATCAGAGCACCGTTGGACCATCGTATCAACGTAAAACGGATGCATGAAATCAAGCTTTATCCGTCTTTTTTTCTGCATAGATAAAGGAAATAAATTTAGATTGGAACACTATAGCCTTGCATGTTTCATATTTTTCAATTTCCACGTAATTCTGCAGAATTCAACCTAATTAGTGCTTCCTACTTAGCCTTTTTTATAAAAAACTTAATACTAGGCCAAAAAATGGGCTAAAAGTTTGAATTTCACAATTACGCGCGCTGCGATGACGTATGTAGCCCTCGCCAATATGATTAGCTGGTTTTCGTCTCGAAATAAACTTGTTTTCCTTAAGGTGGGTGTTCACTTGCAACAAAACACTCCGAACGAACCAAACGCGTCGCGCACTCCAAACAATCTGCAACAAAACATTTTCCGGGCGCGCTCTGAACGACCTGCAACAAAACATTTTGCGCTGAGCGTTCCGCCTGTTTGCGGTGTTCGCCGCGTTCCCACTAGTAATCAGTGTTAGTGTGTTTGTCGACATGGATGCATCTGATATTACCATAACAGCTGGTGCTTTTTTAATTATAGAGGCATAGCGGGTAACAAAAAAGAGAAAAAAAGGAAAGAACGAAAAATGTGGGCAAGACGCCTCTTTTTGCGCCGTCAAAATATGGCCTTACTTAGTGACCTCTAGATTATATACATACGAAAGATTTTACAAGGATGGCTGCAGAAGATTTTGAGAATCTAATATGCTTAGCAGGTCCTAGTTGCGGTGCACTCTATATTATTAGCAATTGCCACCCAAGCATCATGCTTCTTTACTTTGTTATAATATTTCCCATTTGTCAAGTCCCATAAAATAGGCTGCTTCTCAAACTCATCAATTAACTCTAAACACTTTTCTGTGTTCCACTCCACAGCTAGGCACAGTTTAAAAGCACCACAAACACAACGAACGTTCAAAACTGCCGTATCCACTGGACACCGGCCAACGAACAAATTCTTTTGAGCAAATCCCGTTTACCGACAAGCTTCGGAAAATGTTTGGCGCGTTCGGTTCGGTTCTGCGCAACGTACTGACTACACAAATATGTTACAGCGCGCGCGGCACGTTTGGTTCGTTTGGAGTGTTTTGTTGCAAGTGAATATCCACCTTTAGGTGAATTTTATGGTGTTGGCAGCATTGCTGCGCATTCAATGTCGAAATGACATTGTTTACAATTGTTTATTTTTGATTTTAAATTAAATTTGCATTTAAACTATTTTCAATCATGTTAAAAATTAATTGTTGTTGACTGGTAAATGTTTGATAATATTTACCAGTAACTGTAATAATAGTTCTTTTTTGTACAAGACGATAAAATGGTATTTTATTGTCGACCGAAAAGATTAATTCACGAGCGATGAAATCGCGAGTTTTATCGTCATGTATAAAACAATGTTTTTTTTCCATAGCGAGTTACGTTTCAAAAAAACACTCAGAACTTATTATTTCAAGGAATTTATTACCAGTAGAAAAAATATTGTGCTGGGTTGGCGTTGGTTTCTATGTAATTTGACAAATAAATAAAGCAGTCTCTTTAGTTGTCAGTTTTGAGTCAATATTTTTTAATTCTCTTTCGTTTCGATTGCTGATTGAATTGGAGCCAGAAATGGCGCAAAACGAAATAAGTAAATTACCAACAGATATTCAGGCTGAGGCGACAAACGCCATATCCAAACTAGTTCCATTTAAATCCCGAATAACTTATGAAAAGGAATACAAAAATTTTCAAAAATGGAAGCAATTAAAAAACGTGCGAGAAGAAAGATCAAGTAAAAACATACTTTTAGCATAATTTTTCTGAAAAATCTAAGAAAATGCAGCCGTCCAGTTTATGGTCGTACGAGCCCTAACAACTATATGTAGGGATAAGGTCTTTTTTGCAATAAAAACAGTAATTTGTTAAAACGACTCAATTTATTTTGTTTATTATTCTAAATTCAAACATTACAATATGATCTAGACAATTTTACTATATTTTTATAACTTTGCAAACAAATCACTTTTGATAATAGCTTATTTTGAAAAAATCAAGCCAAATTTGCTGACAACTATATATTGGGACAGCACAACAAGAAATTTGTTTAATACGGAGTTACATCACCTTTCGCCTTAACAACTGCCTAAACTCTTAATGGCATTGTATTTACCAAAGATTGGCACATTTGAGGAGAAAAATTATCCCAAATTTCCTGCAGTTTTGCCTGCAAATCAAAAATTGTTCGTTGAAGTGGTTTCTTAAATATTGCTTCATTTTATACCACACAGTTTCTATAACATTGAGGTCCGGACTACTTGAAGGATGGAATAGAACTTTTATATTATTATTACCGAACCAATTTTTTGTTGATTTTGCTGAATGGCACGATGCTCCATCTTGTTGGAAAATATAGTCTTCGTTTGGAAACAATTCTTGAGCACTAGGCAAAAGTGAGGTCTCAAGTATATGTTGATATTTTTGGGCGGTAACAGTGCCATCTATAAAATTTAATTTGCCCAAACCTCTCGCTGACATGCAACCCCAAACCATAATCCCCTTAGGAAATTTAACAACCCTCTTTAAGCAATCTTTATGAAAGGCTTCTGCTTTATTTCGTATTACTCGTTTTCGATGATCTCCAACGCAAACATCAAATTTAGACTCATCGCTAAATATGACCTTATTCCAATCATTTTGTGTCCACGATAATTTAGATTTTGTCCAATTGTAGCGATTTTTCTTTTGAATTTCTGTCAGTAGCGGTTTTTCTTTGGCCTAAATAAGAATTTGTATCAATAATCTTCAGGTAATTGATTATCCACACAAAATAAGGTTTACCTTGTAAAACCCCAGACAACATTTATGGATATATTTTCGGCAACATTCTCTTGATATATTTAAACCAGCTACAGTATTCCATTTAACTGTCACTTCGCGAAAAGTACTTCTTCCCGCAGACTTGCAAATTTTTACTAAATTTCGTAAATCTCTCTAGGATACAACTTTTGGCCTTCCCGAACTTTTATCTCTAACGTCTACATTGGCAGATTCACCGTATTTTTTTTATTATATTAAAGACCGTGGTTTTTGGAATACTTAAATCATCAGAAATTTTTCGAATTGTTTTTCCCGTACTGTATTGACGAATGATAATTTCGCGTAGTTTTTGATTTGTAGCTTTTTCACGGACCATTACTTTAAATCAAATAATTAACAAAATTGAAAATTAAAAAAATTAAAATTACTTACAGTAAATCTCACTACTCAAAGTATCGAGTCACTTACACTGTCAATGCTGAAGTAAACAGTTTGCGACATTTGTGACGTTTATAGCAAAGCCGCCTATGATGATATTAATTATTTAAAAATACTTGTCCCAACATTTAGTTGGCAGCAAATTTGTCCTTTTATGAACAAAATCCGCTACTGTAAATATGGATTGATTTACAAATTCATAAAAATATTGTCAAGTTGTTTAGGATATATGGCTATGTATATATTTAAAAAATTAAACATGTCATTTTGAAAAACCAGGGCAATAATTCCATAATATGACCTTGTCCCAACATATAGTTGTTAGGG